TCAGGACTCACAGAAATGGACAGCAGTGTTATAGATATAACACTGGGATACCTAGCTTGGTAGGTCATCTTAGATGAACTTGCCATCCAACCCACTGTCAATAGCTAAGAATCACCCACTGTCCATAAAGGGAGAAATGAGGAGAGGTCCTCTGGACGGGCAACCTGCTCTAGAGCAGAGGGAAAATCGAGTTCAAAAAGCTGCCAGGCTTGGTGCTGAGTCCATGTATCGAGTAGACCAGCCCGACTCAAGCCATCTGAGGGGTTAGATTGGCCGTCAATCCACTCGAACCACACTCGCACTCTAAAATGTTGCAGGAGGTAGTGTGCTGGTTGTACCATGGTATGTACATCAGCTTGAGAGCTTTCTCCTTTGATCAACGAGGCGACAGCTGCCTCGTTGTCGACAAACCAGAGCACGTCGAGGTTTGCTAGGGAAGCACCATGGAACCACGGGACTAACAGTCCACACAGGGTCTCTCCTGGATAGAGCTGTTGCGTACGTGGCTGCCATGTGTCAATGACCCGTGGGGGAACTGTACACGTCACCCCCGAGGGGGTCATAGCTTTCCACATGAGCGCCCAGCCCAGCCGGAGTGTATCATTCTCAAATGAAGCGTCGGAGTAAATGATCAACGGTGCAGCAGGCTTGGACCTAACCGAGATGACGCGTGGCTCTGGGCAAGCGACAATAGCTGCGAGCAGCCTGAGTGTGAAACAGTCGTCATCTGAGAGGCACGAAGACTCTGCTTTCTGCTTAGCTGCAAGTAAAGGTCCACCAATGCGACCTGCGTAACCTGCACACATGGAAAACATCCAGTTGAGGTCACCCCGCACCTTGCCAGCATCGTCGGGGGAAAGTGTGGAGGTTTCCAGGGCAGAATGCAGCTTCAAAATTTTGGTAGCCGTCGAAACGTTTGGTTGGAACCGGATCAGGCCCTCATCGACAAAGTCACCAACATGCACTGAAGTACCTAGACAATGTCTATTGTGGCCAGGGGCGAACGACTTCGCAGGCTGGGGCGGTGCTCCCAACAACTGGAATGTAAATTGCAAACCAACCTGAGACACATCATGGTCGCGGACAAAGTCTACTGCGAGTTCATCATCAAAGTATGCCGCGGCGAATCCAAGCAGGCATCGCCGCACAATGGCCACTCCAAGTTGCGGAAACCTGTTGAAGTTGACCACAGCACTTTCTAGGCCATATGCCAGTCCATACATGGTCGTGAACCGCCACCCCTGTTGTGGCATGTAGATTGCAACATTAGAGTAGCAGAGGCGCTCATCACAGACGGGCAAACCTCTATAGGCGTCAGGAAGGCCGAGCGGTGGCATGCTGCGAAGGGAAAATGCAGAATCAACCATGCGAGCCACTGCTGCCACAAAGTCAACGTTGACCGTGGAAATGGTCTCAGGCAATAATAGTATGGTGGTTGTGTCCACTCTTTCTTGCATTGTCAATGGCCCGTTGCTTGCCATCGGGTTGGATGATCAAGAACCGTTCAACTGCACGCCAGCCGCCTACACCAAAGAGGTCATCCATCTCCTTCATACTGCGTAGGGGGCTGCAGAAACCTTTAGCGATTTCATCCAAAGTAATTTGGTGGATTGCCTCACGGTGCAGAGGTGGTTTGCTGCGCACCAACCGTTGGACATCAGCAGTAGCCGAGGCGCCCAGCCACTCGGACAGGTCTGCTTTGCCCTCCTGCCGGATGGGGCGGAAGACCCCTGAGTGGTGCATAGGGCCCAGAATGGGGAAACCCTTGCACGAGCTGTTGCGGGAGAGTGAGGTCAGGCCACCGGATCAGGATGGCTAACACGGCTGTCAGCGCCGGCTTCTTACTCTGGGCAACCTGCGACGCCGCCTTTCCATGGTTGGAAAAGGGCTGTAACTATCTCAGAAAGGACAGC